CTATCTAAAACACCAGTCCTACAGCTCAATGTTTAATGTATCTTTAACACCAGTCCTACAGCTCCATGTTTAAGGTATCTATAACACCAGTACTTCAGCTCAATGTTTAATGTATCTATAACACCAGTCCTACAACCTGAACCACACAGCTCCATGTTTAATGTATCTATAACACCAGTCCTACAACCTGAACCACACAGCTCCATGTTTAATGTATCTATAACACCAGTCCTACAACCTGAACCACACAGCTCCATGTTTAATGTATCTATAACACCAGTCCTACAACCTGAACCACACAGCTCCATGTTTAATGTATCTATAACACCAGTCCTACAACCTGAACCACACAGCTCCATGTTTAATGTATCTATAACACCAGTCCTACAACCTGAACCACACAGCTCCATGTTTAATGTATCTATAACACCAGTCCTACAACCTGAACCACACAGCTCCATGTTTAATGTATCTATAACACCAGTCCTACAACCTGAACCACACAGCTCCATGTTTAATGTATCTATAACACCAGTCCTACAACCTGAACCACACAGCTCCATGTTTAATGTATCTATAACACCAGTCCTACAACCTGAACCACACAGCTCCATGTTTAATGTATCTATAACACCAGTCCTACAACCTGAACCACACAGCTCCATGTTTAATGTATCTATAACACCAGTCCTACAACCTGAACCACACAGCTCCATGTTTAATGTATCTATAACACCAGTCCTACAACCTGAACCACACAGCTCCATGTTTAATGTATCTATAACACCAGTCCTACAACCTGAACCACACAGCTCCATGTTTAATGTATCTATAACACCAGTCCTACAACCTGAACCACACAGCTCCATGTTTAATGTATCTATAACACTAGTCCTACAACCTGAACCACACAGCTCCATGTTTAATGTATCTATAACACCAGTCCTACAACCTGAACCACACAGCTCCATGTTTAATGTATCTATAACACCAGTCCTACAACCTGAACCACACAGCTCCATGTTAAATGTATCTATAACACCAGTCCTACAACCTGAACCACACAGCTCCATGTTTAATGTATCTATAACACCAGTCCTACAACCTGAACCACACAGCTCCATGTTTAATGTATCTATAACACCAGTCCTACAACCTGAACCACACAGCTCCATGTTTAATGTATCTATAACACCAGTCCTACAACCTGAACCACACAGCTCCATGTTTAATGTATCTATAACACCAGTCCTACAACCTGAACCACACAGCTCCATGTTTAATGTATCTATAACACTAGTCCTACAACCTGAACCACACAGCTCCATGTTTAATGTATCTATAACACCAGTCCTACAACCTGAACCACACAGCTCCATGTTTAATGTATCTATAACACCAGTCCTACAACCTGAACCACACAGCTACATGTTTAATGTATCTATAACACCAGTCCTACAACCTGAACCACACAGCTCCATGTTTAATGTATCTATAACACCAGTCCTACAACCTGAACCACACAGCTCCATGTTTAATGTATCTATAACACCAGTCCTACAACCTGAACCACACAGCTCCATGTTTAATGTATCTATAACACTAGTCCTACAGCTCCATGTTTAAGGTATCTATAACACCAGTCCTACAGCTCCATGTTTAAGGTATCTATAACACCAGTACTTCAGCTCCATGTTTAAGGTATCTATAACACCAGTCCTACAGCTCCATGTTTAAGGTATCTGTAACACCAGTCCTACAGCTCCATGTTTAAGGTATCTATAACACCAGTCCTACAGCTCCATGTTTAAGGTATCTATAACACCAGTCCTACAGCTCCATGTTTAAGGTATCTATAACACCAGTCCTTCAGCTCCATGTTTAAGTTATCTATAACACCAGTCCTACAGCTCCATGTTAAGCTATCTAAAACACCAGTCCTACAGCTCAATGTTTAATGTATCTTTAACACCAGTCCTACAGCTCCATGTTTAAGGTATCTATAACACCAGTACTTCAGCTCAATGTTTAATGTATCTATAACACCAATCCTACAACCTGAACCACACAGCTCCATGTTTAATGTATCTATAACACCAGTCCTACAACCTGAACCACACAGCTCCATGTTTAATGTATCTATAACACCAGTCCTACAACCTGAACCACACAGCTCCATGTTTAATGTATCTATAACACCAGTCCTACAACCTGAACCACACAGCTCCATGTTTAATGTATCTATAACACCAGTCCTACAACCTGAACCACACAGCTCCATGTTTAATGTATCTATAACACCAGTCCTACAACCTGAACCACACAGCTCCATGTTTAATGTATCTATAACACCAGTCCTACAACCTGAACCACACAGCTCCATGTTTAATGTATCTATAACACCAGTCCTACAACCTGAACCACACAGCTCCATGTTTAATGTATCTATAACACCAGTCCTACAACCTGAACCACACAGCTCCATGTTTAATGTATCTATAACACTAGTCCTACAACCTGAACCACACAGCTCCATGTTTAATGTATCTATAACACCAGTCCTACAACCTGAACCACACAGCTCCATGTTTAATGTATCTATAACACCAGTCCTACAACCTGAACCACACAGCTCCATGTTTAATGTATCTATAACACCAGTCCTACAACCTGAACCACACAGCTCCATGTTTAATGTATCTATAACACCAGTCCTACAACCTGAACCACACAGCTCCATGTTTAATGTATCTATAACACCAGTCCTACAACCTGAACCACACAGCTCCATGTTTAATGTATCTATAACACCAGTCCTACAACCTGAACCACACAGCTCCATGTTTAATGTATCTATAACACCAGTCCTACAACCTGAACCACACAGCTCCATGTTTAATGTATCTATAACACTAGTCCTACAACCTGAACCACACAGCTCCATGTTTAATGTATCTATAACACCAGTCCTACAACCTGAACCACACAGCTCCATGTTTAATGTATCTATAACACCAGTCCTACAACCTGAACCACACAGCTCCATGTTTAATGTATCTATAACACCAGTCCTACAACCTGAACCACACAGCTCCATGTTTAATGTATCTATAACACCAGTCCTACAACCTGAACCACACAGCTCCATGTTTAATGTATCTATAACACCAGTCCTACAACCTGAACCACACAGCTCCATGTTTAATGTATCTATAACACCAGTCCTACAACCTGAACCACACAGCTCCATGTTTAATGTATCTATAACACCAGTCCTACAACCTGAACCACACAGCTCCATGTTTAATGTATCTATAACACTAGTCCTACAACCTGAACCACACAGCTCCATGTTTAATGTATCTATAACACCAGTCCTACAACCTGAACCACACAGCTCCATGTTTAATGTATCTATAACACCAGTCCTACAACCTGAACCACACAGCTCCATGTTTAATGTATCTATAACACCAGTCCTACAACCTGAACCACACAGCTCCATGTTTAATGTATCTATAACACCAGTCCTACAACCTGAACCACACAGCTCCATGTTTAATGTATCTATAACACCAGTCCTACAACCTGAACCACACAGCTCCATGTTTAATGTATCTATAACACTAGTCCTACAGCTCCATGTTTAAGGTATCTATAACACCAGTCCTACAGCTCCATGTTTAAGGTATCTATAACACCAGTACTTCAGCTCCATGTTTAAGGTATCTATAACACCAGTCCTACAGCTCCATGTTTAAGGTATCTGTAACACCAGTCCTACAGCTCCATGTTTAAGGTATCTATAACACCAGTCCTACAGCTCCATGTTTAAGGTATCTATAACACCAGTCCTACAGCTCCATGTTTAAGGTATCTATAACACCAGTCCTTCAGCTCCATGTTTAAGTTATCTATAACACCAGTCCTACAGCTCCATGTTAAGCTATCTAAAACACCAGTCCTACAGCTCAATGTTTAATGTATCTTTAACACCAGTCCTACAGCTCCATGTTTAAGGTATCTATAACACCAGTACTTCAGCTCAATGTTTAATGTATCTATAACACCAGTCCTACAGCTCCATGTTAAGCTATCTAAAACACCAGTCCTACAGCTCAATGTTTAATGTATCTATAACACCAGTCCTACAGCTCAATGTTTAATGTATCTATAACACCAATCCTACAGCTCCATGCTTAATGTATCTATAACACCAGTCCTACAGCTCAATGTTTAATGTATCTATAACACCAATCCTACAGCTCCATGCTTAATGTATTTATAACACCTGTCCTACAGCTCCATGCTTAATGTATCTATAACACCAATCCTACAGCTCCATGCTTAATGTATCTATAACACCTGTCCTACAGCTCCATGCTTAATGTATCTATAACACCAATCCTACAGCTCAATGTTTAATGTATTTATAACACCTGTCCTACAGCTCCATGCTTAATGTATCTATAACACCAATCCTACAGCTCCATGCTTAATGTATCTATAACACCAGTCCTACAGCTCCATGCTTAATGTATCTATAACACCAGTCCTACAGCTCAATGTTTAAGGTATCTTTAATATTAGTGAGGGCAAATTAATTGAACAGCATTCCAAGAGCGTCGGAGATTGATATCGCATTCACAAGTACTTCATGGAACAAATCATAAGAAGTAAATACCTGTAAATAAAGGATATAGTTTTTGATAGAGGTGCGATGAAATGGGGCTTAATGTCGCATCCAAGATTATTGCACTTAGAGACATGCATGCATGTGTGCGTGGCTGCTTGTACTAGTCCAGACTAATGCTGATTTTATAGTGCTAGCCCACTGAGATACCATGCCACAGTTTAACATGAATACCCCACTCAGACACAGTAAACTGACTCAAAGCTGACCAGCCCTTGTTTAATGCCGAGTGTAAATAACTTTTCCTAGACATACAATGACCCGTGACTTTGATGAGTTAGTTTCTACTGTTGCCATAGCAACTAACCAGATTCTGCTGATGGTGGCGAGACACATCGTGGACTGCGGGAGTAGATGTGCCAGGTTGATGTCGGTCTGCAGGGCCCTGGACATGGATAAGGAAAACATGTTCTGGACATCTTGAATACATTCTGCAACATTGTCCTGATTCAGGGCTGAAGATTTCTGCCTGATCCTGGACTACAATCCCAGGAACAGATTAGAAAACCACAAATAAAAAGAAGTGTCAGTTACAGGTTGGAGTGAAAAGATGTTGAAGGGAACGTATAGTAAATACCCTTGGTGATAGACGGTATGCTGGACGTAAAATAATGTATATACATATACAATGTACATAGTAAGTTGATAGGCACCAGGAAAAATACCAGGGAACATAATGTAAAGTGGATATGCCAGGTGTGAAGTGGATATGCCATGCGTAAAGTGGATATGCCATGTGTAAAGTAGGTAAGCCAGGTGTGAAGTGGATATGCCAGGTGTAAAGTAGGTAAGCCAGGTGCGAAGTGGATATGCCAGGTGTAAAGTAGGTAAGCCAGGTGTGAAAAGGGTATGCCATGTGAAGAGTGGGTGTATCAGGTGTAAAGTTGATATGCCTTGTTTGAAATGGGTATGCTTGGTGTAAAGTAGGTATGCCAGGAGTGAAGTGGGTATGCCAGGTGTCAAGTGGATATGCCATGTGTAAAGTAGGTAAGCCAGGTGTGAAGTGGGTATGCCAGGTGTGAAGTTGATATGCCAGGTGTAAAGTAGGTATGCCAGGAGTGAAGTGGGTATGCCAGGTGTGAAGTGGGTATGCGAGGTATAGAGTGGATATACCAGGTGTGAAGTGGATATGCCAGGTGTAAAGTAGGTAAACCAGGTATGAAGTGGGTATGCCAGGTGTGAAGTGGATAAGTAGGTAAGCCAGGGGTGAAGTGGATAAGTAGGTAAGTCAGGCGTAAAATGGGTAAGCCAGGAGTGAGTGAGTGAGTGAGTATGGTTTTACGCCGCTTTTAGCAATATTCCAGCAATATCACGGCGGGGGACACCAGAAATGGGCTTCACACATTGTACCCATGTCCCCAGGAGTGAAGTGGATATGCTATGAGTTAAGCGGGTATGCCAGGAGTGAAGTGGGTATGCCGGGTGTGAAGTGGGCATGCCAGGAGTGAAGTGGATATGCCATGAGTGAAGTGGGTATGCCAGGAGTGAAGTGGGCATGCCAGGAGTGAAGTGGGTATGCCAGGAGTGAAGTGGATATGCCAGGAGTGAAGTGGGTATGCCGGGTGTGAAGTGGATATGCTATGAGTGAAGTGGGTATGCCAGGAGTGAAGTGGGTATGCCAGGAGTAAAGTGGATATGCTATGAGTGAAGTGGGTATGCCAGGTGTGAAGTGGGTATGCCAGGAGTAAAGTGGATATGCTATGAGTGAAGTGGGTATGCCGGGTGTGAAGTGGATATGCTATGAGTGAAGTGGGTATGCCAGGAGAGAAGTGGGTATGCCAGGAGTGAAGTGGGTATACCAGGTGTGAAGTGGGTATGCCAGGTGTGAAGTGGATACGCCAGGTGTAAAGTGGGTATGCCAGGTATAGAGTGGTCATACAGGTTTAAAGTAGACACGCCCTGCGTAAAGTGCGAGGTGTGACTTGTACACGGAGGATACGCTGCTGCAGTGGTGCAGTAGTTGACGGTCTGTACCAGGATCGCTGTGGTTCCCATCACTCGTACCAGGAAGTACTCCAACATAGCGTGTGTCGGCAGCTCAACCACCTTGCCGGTCTGCTGGCCAAGTCTGGCTCTGAACAGGCACAAATAATGATTAGAAAGTAGAAAACAAGGAAAATCGGACTTACTTGAGTTAAGTTCACTTTGGTTTTGAGATGTCGTCGTGTTAGGACATACATTCGTGACCTTAGTTTGATAATTCGGATTGATAGGATGCATATTCTTCAGTTTGGTTTGAAATGTCGTCATGATAGGACGTACATTGAACAGTTTCAACATTGAACATTGAACAATGCTAGCCAAAATAGGGCTAGACTGATAAGTTGATAGCAATAGATTTTGAGAATCATATTTAGTTAATTTTGTCACATTTACAATTCTTCATCTTTTTCAAGAAGAGATTCACGTTTAGTTTCCCGAATTTATTATCTGAATTATTTCATCATATCAAGAAAGTCAAGTTTAATTCCCCGCATACAACAGTGAGGGAATTCGCATTTTTGTTAATAGTTAATATTCCACTGCACAACATGTGGTTGTGAGTGTAGTTGTTTGTGTGTTTTACATGTACTTGTGTGTGTGTGTGTGTGTGTGATTGTCTGTGTGTGTGATTGTCTGTGTGTGTGTGATTGTCTGTGTGTGTGTGATTGTCTGTGTGTGTGTGTGTGGGGGGGGATTTTCTGTGTGTTTAGTGCATGTGATTGGGTGTACAGTTGTTTGTGTTTTGGTGTGTGTGTGTGATTGTCTGTGTGATTGTGTGTGTGTGTGTGTGTGTGTGTGTGTGTGTGTGTGTGTGTGTGTGTGTGTGTGTGTGTGTGACAGATACAACATTGTACATATTTATTTTATTCACCTTCAGTATCTGCTTTTAAGTGTTCAACTTTAAACATAAATCATTAGTTAAGATAGATTAAATGTAGTTAATATGTCCTTCATGTTGTAAGCCTTAACAAACCCAAGCCATGACGTGCTCAACTGATTGGCCAAGCTAACCCTCAAAGTTGACCCTTTGTCTCACTGCATGTTCTCAGTCTGCACACATTTCCTGCACAGACAAGTTGACAGGTGAAATCACCTAAAATCAGGTTAGTATAATATATATGTGTATACTTGTATGTTATTGCAGTTAAATGTTGCAGTATATTAAACCTATAATATTAAACTTACCTAAACGTGTTTAATATTATCATATTCTCAGTTACAATCTATTTAAATAAATGTGGTAAACAAGACTTATAAATGTAAGCTTTGGTAATTACTAATATATCACTTTTCTGTCTCTTTATTCTTGTATGTATGAGGAAGAATGTATGTGTTGTTTTATGGAATAGGCTAGGTTTTAAATGCTTTTGTGATCAGTTATGTATAATATACAGTCTGTACTATACGGGATCCGGAGAAATATTTTAACGTGTATGTAAATAGTTGTATTAGTCATTGTTATAAAAGTATATGTTTTATTCAGATATCCGGAATTATAAGTTGCGGCGGTAGTCGGGAAGACACCCCAGTCTCACCCACAGGGTAGGCACATAATAAATGTATAGTCAGTTTCTATATTTGTGAAACACATAAGTGTATCACACCCGTAAAGACATGTATATATATGTATTTTTGAAAGAGATTTATAATCTCTTTACACCTAGTTAATATATCAATAATTATTCTATTTGGTTCTTACATCAGTTAGCAGATCATTGTACAGTGTAACAACTAATATATGAAGAAGATGTGTTTGTAATGTAAAATGGTTTGTAATACTGTGATGTCGATGATTGCATTATGTATATTGTTAATATTACTTATCATTCCTTTTAATATGTTTCAGGGTGTATATCCTAGATAGATATAAATATCACAAATCCATTGGCCGAATAAACGTCTCTCACCCGTAGCGTGTGTTTGCTTATCGCTCATTCACTGCCCTGCTACAAATGGAGCCCCCAGTGAGGACTATAGTCGCCATGGAAGAAACGACGTAGATCGCCAGCAACATCCACTTTTGGTGATTTCTTTGAAGTGACCTTTGTGTGACCTTGGACACTGTCACGTGACATTTGTGTGTTTATTGTGACTTTTCCAGTATTGGATATTGCTACTTCAGCTTGGACATTCCATTCAATTCATGGACATTCTGATCATGTGAGTCCCCATCATGTATTAATGCATTGTATAAAGGTTACATCCTTTGCTAGCTAGCATTTAACTTTAAATTTACTTTGTACCTGGCGCCAGTTCAATTAAGTTGTGTAAACTGTGACTTTGTTTACGTCACATATTTTGTATTTTGTTCATGTACAAAGCTTTGTATTACAGTAGACTTCTTTGTCAGCTACTTCTCATTATTCTGTTGGTACCAACATTATCTACGTAGCTACAGGTTCTTTATTATATCATGTGTTTAGTTTAGCTTAGTTTAGTTCTGTTTGGTATTGTTAAGTTTAGCTTAGCTTAGTTTATTTTTGTATAGTTTTGATTTAGTTTACCATCAGCTTTTAGTTAGTTTACTTATATAACGGTACTCAGTGTGTATGTGTGTATGAAAATGGCTTGATTTCATTTCTACTTTCTCTCCTTGTTTAATCAAATAAAAGGTTAGCAAATAAAATTTAATGGTATAAACAACATGTAAGCTAAACATGTCTTAATTTACTGACTGTATGACGACAGACTTTTGCACTTTCTTTGAACATTTCACATTTTGATACTAACATCCCCTTCCACTCCCTCTGTGTTGTCTGTAGATTTAGTATTTAGTCACTTCCTTGGTTTGTAAATACACTTTGTAAGTATTGTATTTTCAACTTGGGATTTGTCGTATGCCTAGCATTATATTCAAGTATATGTACACCCTGTCGTGTGTGCACTTGTGCTGCGTTTCTTTCTTTTGAACGCCATGATATAACGGGAATACTGTTTAAACCGGCCTTAAACCTGCCTTACACTAAACTCACTCACTCTTTTTTGTGTGTGAGTATATTATTACACTTTGCCGTCACACCTGCTATTTTGGGAGAGATTGCCTTTCAGCTTAATTTGTGTATTAGTTGTCTGAACTAGACATTCCACTTGTTTGTCTTTGTTTGCCCTAGTAGTTGGTACAGGTACTCTGTCATTTACTTGAACTCGCATTATCCACTCCACTACACACGTGTATAGTAGATATTTTCTATTTTGCGTTCTCATAGCTGTATTTCTGCAGGATTGCAACATGTGTCACGTTGCTTATTTCAGGCTTCGGTGCATGTGTCCTTAGTCATACTCATATAGTTACATGCCAGTGTGACCCTCTATATCACTTGGTACTTCCTACACACTCACCACGCGATAAGTGTTTCACTCATTTGACTTCCTGGTACCCTTAGATATTCCCTCTTTACCTCGTTGGCACATGGTCTGCTTTTTGAGCAGTTGTGTTTGTTTTCTTTGCCTACTTCTGCTGCATTCCTTAACCATGGAGTTCAAGGATGAGGAGCTGGAAGGCATGGCCACACTCTTTAAGAAGTTGGGGATGCAACCGAAGGCTGACACGCCTGAGGATTTTAAAGCCTGGATCAAGGACATGTATTCTCACCAAGGCCCTCTTACCGGGGAATATGAAGAGACAACTGGACCTCCTACTCAACCACAGACACAGGATGTTAAGCCTGTAGCTGTAGCATACCATCAGTTCCCTAAGCTGCCATTGTTTAGTGGAGATTTTCAGGGCAAGGATGTCTCATTTGACCTTTGGACTTACGAAGTGGATTGTCTCTTGAAGTCAACAATCTATACACCAGATGTCATTGATCAGGCCATCAGGCATTCCTTGAAGGGAGAGGCAGCCAGAGTAGCAATGAGGTTAGGATCCAAGGCTTCAATACAGGACTTACTGAACAAACTCTACAGTATTTATGGAACTGTTCAGCGCAGAGAAGCTCTCTTGGCTCAGTTTTATAGCGCTTCCCAGGGTGAAGTTGAAGATGTTGCTACTTGGGGATGCCGTTTGGAACACTTGCTTTCCAAAGTCACGGATCACCACGCTATTCCTTTTCAAGAACAGGATGACATGTTGAGGAATATGTTGTGGAGTGGTCTTAGGCCATCATTGAAGAATGTGTCCGGCCATAAGTTTGATTCTGTCTCCTCCTTTGATGGACTCAGGATATCCCTGAGGGAGATTGAGTATGACATGAAGCAAGGAAGAGATCCAACACCATCACCTAGGAATAGGACTGCTACTGCCAAGATGGCCTCCGAGTCAGATACAGTGACGAGGAAAGATATTGATAGTCTGACTTCTGCTATCCAACATTTGCAAAGTCAGGTTACAGATCTGACGACCAAGCAACAGGGGACAGCCTATGCCTATCAGCACCAGGCTATCACCCCCAGTCAACAGAGGGGCAGACGCCGAGGCAATCTGCCATTTACCTCTCAGGAAGTGATTGCACCACCCCAAGGAGCTACCCCATATGGATCCTTCTCACCCCACGGCTTGGATCAAGGACCAGATGATAGAGTCTACGCACCACAAGGTATTGGAGCTACCGCAAACCCTTACTACAGAGGTACAAGAGTAAACCATAGCGGACAGGGACCTACACTTCCTACATCTGGTGTTCAGATAGGTGCACAGAGGAACCCGTATCCACCACCACCTGAGAAGGATTATCCTTATTCTACTAGGTCTCAGGAAGTTACATGCTTCAGATGTGGTTACCCAGGACACATTGCCATTGGATGTCGAGTTCGTCTGGACCATCTTCGTCGCCCTTTAAACTGGCAAGGGTCTATGGGCAGGGGTCACCACTAGACTTACTTCAGAACCCCAACAGAGTACCTGAAGGATTAGTTGGTCAAGCAAATGAAGATAACATCATGCTTGATGGTAAGCCAGTTCGAGCTTTACTTGACACAGGAGCCACAGTGTCCATCATATCTGAGTCCTTTTATGAGGAACAGTTACAGCACATTGAACTGGAGCCACTCGGTAATATTTTAGACATTGAGTGTGCAGGCGGCGAGACTTTACCATATAAGGGGTTTATTAAAGTGGATGTATCCATCACTGGAGGAGGTGTTGATGTTGATGCTGTTCCATGTTTATTCCTTATAGTACCAAGTACCAGATACAGTGCCCGTGTACCGGTACTTCTAGGAACTAACATCTTGAACTGCTTATTGGACAATTGCCGGAACCAGCATGGAACTAGGTTTCTACAGAAGGCCCCATTGCACACCCCGTGGTATTTAACCTACAGGACTATTGTGCTTGGAAAGAAGGAACTGGAACGAAACAAGTGGCGACTTGGACTTGTGAGAAGCGCTGAAGACAGGAATGCCATGATCCCAGCAAATGGTAGAGTTGTAGTGAAGGGTCAAGTAACCAAGGGATTGAGGACATCTAGACTTTGTGCTCTTCTACAACCAACCCCACAGGCATCCACTCCTTCTGATGTCGACATAGCTCCAACAGTCATCACTTATGACAAGGACAGCCCAGGTGACATCGAAGTGCATGTTTTCAACATCACCACCCGTACCATAGTTATACCTCCCAGATCCTTACTCTGTGAACTTCAACCAGTGACTCTGCAGGATGCCCCATGTGGTCGACCTATAGATGAGAAGACTCTATTGGAACAAGTGGAAATAGAGAAAGAGAGTTTGACTTCTAAGGAGATAGAACAAGGCCTTGATATTATCTTGAAGTTCAAGGACATCTTTTCCAAGAATGAAGAGGATCTTGGGCACTCATCAGCTGTTCAACACCAGATTGATTTGACAGATGACCATCCTTTTAAGCAAAGACATCGTCGAATACCACCAGCCATGTTTGATGAGGTCCGAAGTCACTTACAACAACTTTTGTCTGCAGGAGTCATCCGAAGTTCACACAGCCCTTGGGCATCCAATGTTGTCTTAGCTAGGAAGAAGAATGGAGCTTTAAGGATGTGTATAGATTTTAGACAGCTTAACAACCGCACCATCAAAGATTCTTATGCTTTACCACGTATCGAGGAGCTGTTAGACTGTTTAGGAGGCATGACCTATTTCTCTGTTTTGGATATGAAGAGCGGGTACCATCAGGTTGAGATAGAGGAGAGCCATAAGGAAAGAACTGCCTTTACTGTTGGACCATTGGGTTTCTTTGAATATAACAGGATGCCATTTGGTCTTTCCAATGCCCCAGCGACTTACCAGCGACTTATGGAACAGTGTCTCGAGGGACTCCATCTGAAGATCTGCCTCATTTACCTCGATGACCTTATAATCTTTTCCAAGACTTATGAGGAACATGTTCAACGTCTAGAGATGGTTTTCAGAAGACTCCAGGAATGTGGACTGAAGCTCGCGCCAAAGAAGTGTAAATTCTTCAAGCGCCGGGTGAGATATGTTGGCTATATAGTTTCTGCTAATGGCATCGAGGCAGACCAAGAAAAGGTTGACAAGATAAAGAACTGGCCTACCCCATCAACTCCTGAGGAAGTTAGGAAAGTTTCTCGGATTTGCTGGTTATTACCGGAAATTCGTGAAAGACTTTTCTAGCATTGCAAGACCTCTGTCTGAACTGATGCCAAAGTGTGCCAAGAAATCCAGGAAACAAGCCACAAAGACTATGATATGGAAGTGGGGTCAGGACCAAGAAAGAGCCTTTGAGGAGATCAAGACATGCCTTTCATCCCCTCCCGTTTTAGGGTATGCTGACTACACAAAGCCCTTCGAGCTCCATACAGATGCCAGCACTCAGGGTTTGGGAGCAGTACTGTATCAGCATCAAGATGGCCACCCACGAGTCATAGCATATGCAAGTAGGGGATTGAAACCTTCTGAAAGAAACTACTCTGCACATAAACTGGAGTTTCTGTGTTTAAAGTGGTCAATTTCAGAAAAGTTTCATGACTATTTGTATGGTCATGACTTTGTGGTGATGACTGACAACAATCCCTTGACGTACGTTCTGACCACAGCTCGATTGGATGCTACTGGACACCGTTGGTTAGCTTCTCTAGCCAACTACAACTTTACCATCCAGTACAGATCAGGAAAATCCAACGTAGATGCTGATGCCCTGTCCAGATTGCCTCAAAGAGAACATCAAGTACAAATGGAAGAGGTCAACAAGGACTCAATAAGAGCAATCTGTGAAGTTTTACAAGTGTCAAGTCTTGTTGAAAGTTTGATTCTATCCACCCCTGACATAGATGAGCAAGAAGAGATAACTGAAGACAGATGGGAGTTTAATGCCAGGGATTGGAGACGAACTCAATCAAAGGATCCAGAGATTGGTATCATCATTGATCATCTCAGAAACAGGACTAAACCAGACAGGACACATTTTGTTGGGAATCAAGAGATGACTACACTGTTGAAAAGTTTTCAACACTTTCAGCTAAAGCGAGGTGTTTTGTATAGAGTCATCAAGACAGAGGGAGAAGATCAAGAACAGTTAGTCCTTCCAACAAGATGTAGATCGGCCGTATTGCGAAGTCTCCACGACAACGTTGGGCATCCAGGGAGAGACAGGACCTTGTCTCTCATCAAGGACAGATTTTATTGGCCTGGGATGACCAAGGATGTAGAGACTCATGTTCAACAATGTGTGCCGTGTCTGCGTCATAAAACACCAACAGGAAGAGCTCCACTGGTCAGTATAGAAACCTCACAACCTCTAGAACTGGTCTGCATGGATTTTCTCACCCTGGAGCCATCAAAGGGAGGACAACAACATGTTCTAGTTGTGACTGACCACTTCACCCGCTATGCCCAGGCCTACGCTACCAAGAACATGACGGCCAAGACAACTGCTGAAGTCTTCTTCAACAATTTCATTCTACATTATGGGATACCTAAGCGTATTCACTCGGATCAAGGAGCAAACTTCACTGGGAATCTCATGCGAGAGTTATGTCAGCTTCTGAAAATCAACAAATCCCGGACCACACCATATCATCCAATGGGGAATGGAATGTGTGAACGTTTTAACAAGACTCTCTGCAACATGCTTGGTACTCTTGATCCAGATAGCAAGAAGAAGTGGAAAGCCTTTGTTGGACCATTAGTACACGCATATAACAGTACTCGCCATGAATCAACAGGCTTTGCACCATTCTTCTTGATGTATGGACGTCATCCACGTCTCCCGGTGGATATAGCTTTTGGACTTGACATGGATTCAGCCAAGTCAACATCAATGACCTGTTACATCAAAGACTTGAAAGATCGTCTCAGCCAAGCTTATGACATAGCATCGTCTGCAGCTAAGAAAGCCCAGTCCAGGAACAAGAGTTTATACAACCAGAAAGCAAGAGCAGCTGTCATTGAGAAGGGAGACAGAGTACTTGTAAAAGTGGTTGCCTTTGACGGCCGGCACAAGTTAGCAGACAGATGGGAAGAAGATATTTATGTCATCTTGGACCAACCAAATTCATCCATACCAGTATTTGTCGTTGGTAAGGAGAATGGACACGGACGGACAAGAACCTTGCACAGGAATTTACTGCTTCCTATCGGCTCTCTTCCCCAAACAGCACCAGTGCCTAAACCAAGACGAATCAAGTCTCCACAACCACAACCTAAAGTTCGACCAAGGACGTGTGTAAACCAGACATCCAGAGAAGACACCACAGGCATCTCACATGATGAAGATGAACTGGAAGATGGAGAAGATATGGTGTTAGTCACCACTCATCATTCGGACTCTGCAGGGTCAGCTCTTTATCCAGCTGACAGGCCACCTGAAGACAAGCCGAACGAAGATGTTGAGAGTGAGGACCAGAACACTGAAGTTGATGGAAGGGATGAGACTGCAGATGTTGAACAACAGGAACAGCCTTCAGAAGAACCTCCAGTTCCACCTGTGGATGTCCCACCAGACAGAGAACTTGCTGCTGCTGCACCGATTCCAACAGTACCACCGAATCCTCAACCAAGGAGGTCTGTTCGAGAGCGGAGACCCCCAAAATGGATGAGCGGTGGTGAGTTTGCTCTTTCAGCAGTTACTCAACCAGACTGGTTATCTCGAGCAAACTATCTCAGTTCTCTCATAGAGGAAGGATTGCTTGAGGGCCAGCCAAAACGTCTCTCTGATGCTCTACTGGATCTGGTCACAGGAAAGAATACATGACGAGGACGTCATTTCACCGAGGGGGGAAGTGTGTGACAGATACAACATTGTACATATTTATTTTATTCACCTTCAGTATCTGCTTTTAAGTGTTCAACTTTAAACATAAATCATTAGTTAAGATAGATTAAATGTAGTTAATATGTCCTTCATGTTGTAAGCCTTAACAAACCCAAGCCATGACGTGCTCAACTGATTGGCCAAGCTAACCCTCAAAGTTGACCCTTTGTCTCACTGCATGTTCTCAGTCTGCACACATTTCCTGCACAGACAAGTTGACAGGTGAAATCACCTAAAATCAGGTTAGTATAATATATATGTGTATACTTGTATGTTATTGCAGTTAAATGTTGCAGTATATTAAACCTATAATATTAAACTTACCTAAACGTGTTTAATATTATCATATTCTCAGTTACAATCTATTTAAATAAATGTGGTAAACAAGACTTATAAATGTAAGCTTTGGTAATTACTAATATATCACTTTTCTGTCTCTTTATTCTTGTATGTATGAGGAAGAATGTATGTGTTGTTTTATGGAATAGGCTAGGTTTTAAATGCTTTTGTGATCAGTTATGTATAATATACAGTCTGTACTATACGGGATCCGGAGAAATATTTTAACGTGTATGTAAATAGTTGTATTAGTCATTGTTATAAAAGTATATGTTTTATTCAGATATCCGGAATTATAAGTTGCGGCGGTAGTCGGGAAGACACCCCAGTCTCACCCACAGGGTAGGCACATAATAAATGTATAGTCAGTTTCTATATTTGTGAAACACATAAGTGTATCACACCCGTAAAGACATGTATATATATGTATTTTTGAAAGAGATTTATAATCTCTTTACACCTAGTTAATATATCAATAATTATTCTATTTGGTTCTTACATCAGTTAGCAGATCATTGTACAGTGTAACAACTAATATATGAAGAAGATGTGTTTGTAATGTAAAATGGTTTGTAATACTGTGATGTCGATGATTGCATTATGTATATTGTTAATATTACTTATCATTCCTTTTAATATGTTTCAGGGTGTATATCCTAGATAGATATAAATATCACAAATCCATTGGCCGAATAAACGTCTCTCACCCGTAGCGTGTGTTTGCTTATCGCTCATTCACTGCCCTGCTACATGTGTGTGTGTGATTGTCTGTATGTGTGTGTGATTATCTGTGTGTGTGATTGTGTGTGTGTGGAGCTGTGTTTGTAGGTGTGTGAGTGCGAGCATGCGTGCATACGTGCGTGCACTCGTGTGTGTAACTCTATTATATAAATCTGTAATACATGGTAGTCAGGGCATGCATTTATCTAACTGTTTAAGGGGGGACTCACTTACTGTTTAAAATGTTGATGCATTTTGCAGACAAGTCCAACAAAGTCTGTTTCTTGATAGCGCTTCAGACATCCCTCAACCTGGAGTAGAATCACAGTAGCAGAAGCTATAACTACTGAGTGCTATCACATCCACATTGTGTCATGTATCTCACTGGGATCTACTCACCTGTGTCAGTGTTTGTGATGTCTTATGTCTACATCACGTGGATCTACTCACCTGTGTCAGTGTTTGTGATGTCTTATGTCTACATCACGTGGATCTACTCACCTGTGTCAGTGTTTGTGATGTCTTATGTCTACATCATGTGGTTCTACTCACCTGTGTCAGTGTTTGTGATGTCTTATGTCTACATCATATGGATCTACTCACCTGTGTCAGTGTTTGTGATGTCTTATGTCTACATCACGTGGGTCTGCTCACCTGTGTCAGTGTTTGTGATGTCTTATGTCTACATCACGTGGATCTACTCACCTGTGTCAGTGTTTGTGATGTCTTATGTCTACATCACGTGGGTCTGCTCACCTGTGTCAGTGTTTGTGATGTCTTATGTCTACATCACGTGGATCTACTCACCTGTGTCAGTGTTTGTGATGTCTTATGTCTACATCACGTGGGTCTGCTCACCTGTGTCAGTGTTTGTGATGTCTTATGTCTACATCACGTGGATCTACTCACCTGTGTCAGTGTTTGTGATGTCTTATGTCTACATCACGTGGGTCTGCTCACCTGTGTCAGTGTTTGTGATGTCTTATGTCTACATCATGTGGATCTTCTCACCTGTGTCAGTGTTTGTGATGTCTTATGTCTACATCACGTGGGTCTGCTCACCTGTGTCAGTGTTTGTGATGTCTTATGTCTACATCATGTGGATCTTCTCACCTGTGTCAGTGTTTGTGATGTCTTATGTCTACATCACGTGGGTCTGCTCACCTGTGTCAGTGTTTGTGATGTCTTATGTCTACATCATGTGGATCTTCTCACCTGTGTCAGTGTTTGTGATGTCTTATGTCTACATCACGTGGGTCTGCTCACCTGTGTCAGTGTTTGTGATGTCTTATGTCTACATCACGTGGATCTACTCACCTGTGTCAGTGTTTGTGATGTCTTATGTCTACATCATGTGGATCTTCTCACCTGTGTCAGTGTTTGTGATGTCTTATGTCTACATCATTTGGATCTTCTCACCTGTGTCAGTGTTTGTGATGTCTTATGTCTACATCATTTGGATCTACTCACCTGTGTCAGTGTTTGTGATGTCTTACGTCTACATCACGTGGATCTACTCACCTGTGTCAGTGTTTGTGATGTCTTACGTCTACATCACGTGGATCTACTCACCTGTGTCAGTGTTTGTGATGTCTTATGTCTACATCACGTGGATCTACTCACCTGTGTCAGTGTTTGTGATGTCTTACGTCTACATCACGTGGATCTACTCACCTGTGTCAGTGTTTGTGATGTCTTATGTCTACATCACGTGGATCTACTCACCTGTGTCAGTGTTTGTGATGTCTTATGTCTACATCACAAGGATCTACTCACCTGTGTCAGTGTTTGTGATGTCTTACGTCTACATCACAAGGATCTACTTACCTGTGTAAGTGTCTGTAATGTCTTATGCCTGCGCATCTGGTTTCTTCTTTTGATAAGGAAGCGTGACAGGACAAAGAGTTCAGAGGCCAGGAATTCAAGGTCCTTCATGATGTCTACTGCACTGGACAAAACATCCACTGTCCTGTCGACATTGGCTGGACAAAGATGTGTCAATGTTAGTTGAGTAACATACTCTGGATTGACATCCTCATTCAACAAAAGTAGAGGAAGCAGATATGTTGACTGATGCAAGATGCAGTTTGCACAAAAAAACCTTTACACTTTGCCAAGGGGCTATTATTGAGTATATTTACAAGACAAAATTAACTCAAGTGGGTCTGCAGCTAGTGGTTTAAGACCATTTCATCAGAATAAAAATGACCTTTATATACAACTGACTGAAGAAACATTTTTGTGAAACACGAAAAGGGATATCGTCCTACTTCTCCAATCCTACTGATGACTGGGAATAGATATGCACCTGCGCCAGGGCAGAGACTACTGAGAATAAAGAAGACATGTTTTCCTGACCTGTGATGCACTGACTGGCGGCCACCCGCTGCAGATGTTGAGAGGGAGATTGTAGATGACGACAGTTCCAGACAACGTCCAGTGATACCATGGTGTTCTGTCTGACCGAGAGGGATCAGCACATCACTCATCCACAATCATGTCAATACATGTGATTTCTACAGTTTTCATTGCATATTCAAGACATGATTTTATCCTACAATTTGATGTTTACTTTAATTGCTCTCTTAATTATTCACAATGTCAAGATCAAAGGTAATTTCACACACTCAACAATGCATGATATGTTATTTTTGTAGGATTAACAGAAATAGCAACACTTCCTGACATATGAGTACAGCTCGAAGCATCACAAGGAAGATTATATAGTAGACAGGTGCTGCAATCAAGGCTACATATCAGCAAATAAAAATTATTTATGCACGGCTGCAATGTTGCGCCGGTAGCTTTAGGCCATGCCATCCCTCCAGTTTTGTTTTGGAATCCGATTATGGAGTATGAGATTTCAGCAGTTTCACTTGAACATTAAAACTACTTTCTATGAATGTTTGGACATTTTTTGTCTCTGGAATTGACTTAAAGCACCTTGGTAAGTAGATTTCTTTTCTTAATGATACATGCACTTTAGAAAAAAGACTTTGTAAAATACCTATGTGTTTTGTTAGAACACTTTATATCCTGAAATACACAAGAAAATAGTTCAGGAAAGGTTTTCAGTGAGTGACTCCTTAGTCTGCCAACAGTCTCGGTTGTGCATTCAGTGTCATGTGTGTAACCTAGACGTAGCTCTGTGAAAATTGTTATCATAAACTGTTATCATAAACTTTTTAAAATGAATTGGGATACATCACACCTACAAAATATAGGATACATTCCTTCAGCATGTAATAATTAATTGTCATAGTCTTTGATTTTAATGGCTAATATACACGGGAGTTGATGAAATAATATTTAAACTCTATATCAACATAGCATACTCATAGGCCTATATCATTTGTAACTGAAATGCTTTCACTACTTTCAGTGTCACTCTTGGTCACTCATACAGCAGTAGAAACTAATATTTTAGTCCACTAGTCCTTATAATGACAACATATAGCAAAACCCTTAAAATGGCAAAATCCTACTAGTCCTTATGATACCTTAACTATTGGGCAGTTTGGCAAGGATTACAGGACTAGTGCCAATTTCTAAGGCTGCTTATATTTTTAAATTTGAACTGAATGATTTAAAAAATCTACAGTTAATTTCCACAACATAAGCATATCATGTCATAGCTAGTCTAGTAGTAATTGTGTGGTCGTGTCAGATTGTAGATGAGACCTTGGTTAAATATTACCAGAAAATGAAGGATGACAATCGTTAACTGAGTGGAGTATTCACATAAACTAGGCCTAATCCATGCCAACCGGAAGATCCCTCATGGCAGATGCCATTTTGATTACAATCTCGTAGAATCTATAGCAGACGAATTTTATTTTCGACATTTGTAAGATGTAAAGCAGTTGCTGCTGAATACAGTGGATATAAGGAGTTCTTGTCCGAGTTCTTCTATGGTGATTATCTTCTCATGATATATAATTTGTCACTTACGTTTGTAGAAAAATCGCAAAATGCTGGTAATTTTTGCTACCAATATTGAATCACATGACTGATCGCGAGACTTGGCGAGAATTCCACGCTGTAAATAACATGGCGGCTTGTGCAAAGTTGACGTAGTTGTTCATAGGATTTATTTGAACGCTGTAACATTTTTAAATTATGGGGTTGTGTAAGTGCCCGAAACGGAAGGTTACCAACTTGTTCTGCTTTGAACATAGAGTGAACGTGTGTGAGAACTGCTTAGTGACGAATCACCAACAGGTACGACACATCCTCGTTTTGTTGACTCAATGTCAGTATGCCTGTTACTCCGTGTGAATCTATGAATGCTGATTGTTGACTAATACAATGTCATCGAAATGTTTTGATAATCTGAGTTGTTGAATGACACATTTGTCGCAAAAGACCAAAGTTTTGTATCTTGTGCATGTGATAGTTTTGATTCGTGTGATTCAAGTCAGTCACCAGACCCAGCTAGCGCTATATAGTAGCAGGCTAATGGTAAAGTACGGAAGCCTTTTAGGGCCATGTTTTTAAAAAAAATAATTCGATACTATGTTGAAATTTCAAGAAACTAAGTTGAAATTTCAACATACTATAATTGAGAATTTTTTTATTATATTCTTTCAAAATTCGGAATTTTTAAAAGTTCATATTATATTAAATTCAGAGGTATTTGAAGTTGCATTGAATGCAAAAATATAAAAACTGTTTATTGGTCTTGTTATAAGTGAATACAGGTTACCTCTACAAAGCCATTACATTAGTTAGCATGGTACTCAATGGTATTGTGGTCTTTAATTCATACTGGATTGTAAATGGTCCACACTTACACTTACCTATAAATCATCCGTCGGACGCGAACTTGTGACCTTCGGATTGTTAACCTGACAGCTAATTGTTATGGTTCTGTTCGGATGAACAAAACCTTCCAAATGGCGTGCTGGTTTTCTTGGGGGAATTAGTCAGCAAAGAGCCGGAGTCACAGGAGACAAATTACAATTTTATTTACAAGAACAATTGACAATGAATAGTTTACAATATCGTAGAATATTTAATTGAGGGTGCCACAGAGAGTCAGTACAACCCTCTGGGCTGTGGGAGAAAGGTCTGCTTGGCATGAGTGTCAAACCCCTTCTGCTTAACATTTTGCTTCTGTTTGTATTTAACAAAAATTAGAACAATAAAAAGGAAAATGATTGGTTGATACATGATGGGGTGTATCAAATCACGTGAGCACCTTGATTAAAATCATGAAAAAATTTAGAAAATATCTGTTGACGAGTTAGCGGTGCACATGCTTGCAAATCCTGCAGTCGAGCGAAATCTGCATGACACTTTACGAACCGGATTTCGATTTCAGTGCCCGATTTTGATTGGACTATGCATAGACTCGTTAGTCCAGTCAAAATGTAACTCCATAATATCAGCCTGGTTCAGCAAGGGTGGAAACTGGACTTTTATAGTCAGTTAACTCTTTTGCCTCGGGAAGATGCATTTTGACAGGAATCAACTGTCAAGCACGTCTACAGTGGTGCAGACAGCGTCTACTCTGGACGGCAATGCAGTGGGGACAAGTTCTATTCACTGACGAGTCTCGTTTTCACCGCAGCCCCAACGATGGACCGATTTGAGTGTACCGACGTTGAGGTGAACGTTACGTCAATCATTGTGTCATGGAAGAAGATCGGTTCAGGGGCGGGAGCGTTATGGTATGGGGTGGGATTACAGCAAGACAGAGGACTCGTTTGATAGTGGTAGAGGGAAATCTCAATGGACAGCACTACCGCGACGAGATCATCAGCCCTGTTGTTCTACCATTTTTGCGTCGTCATGGCCCAGGCATTACCTTTCAACATGACAACGCCCGGCCTCATATTGCTCGACTTGTTCAGGATTCTCTTCAACAAAACAACGTGAATGTCATCCCCTGGCCGGCTCGCTCCCCTGATCTCTCACCAGCATATGTTGGATGAGATGGATCGGCGCCTTCAATGTCAACCACATGTTACACAGATACTCCAGGAACTTCGAAACATGCTCCAGCAGATATGGACAGATATCCCACAGAACTTTTTGCGACGTCTGGTCCATTCCATGAGACGAAGATGTGCTGCTTGCATCGCAACCAGAAGTGGACACACGCACTATTGATTTGTAAATTGACATTTTGGCATGTTCATGTTTTTTTTTATGAAATCACGCATTTTCTGAAGTCAGTATGGCAACTAAACCATTTGAACACTTACAGGAGTCTTTTATCTGTTGCAAACCGAAATTGTTTCAGATTTGGTAAAAAACATAACTTTGCATTAAATCTTATTCATGTCACAGAAACTTTTGTTGTTCAGTATATGTAGACATAACTTTTGTCTTATTGAATAGTATGTCTAGGAGATGTGTTCTCTTTACCTTAGACTAGCATCTATGTAAAAAGCTATGACTGATACTACTGATATTTTGTACATGCATTTTACCTGATATGTATTACTTGCTAAACCATAATTATATGAAATGTTGTATAAATGTTACACCATGATAACTCATAAAAGCACTTGCTGTGGAACCAATTATCATATGAGAACTTAGTGTAAATGTTATATCATGATAGCTAACTGACTGAGCTATGCCCACACTGTGAAACTAAGTGCAAATTTACCTGGTCATGCCTAAATTTATCTGGTCATGCCTATGTTGTTATGGAACTGAATGAAAAGGGTCGAATAGGTGATGGACACTTACGAAGGTTACGGGTAGGCATGGTGTCTCGTGACTTTGGCACACTCGTCCCATTCCGTAATCTACAAGATACCGAGTGGTGAGGAATGAGCCGATATGGCGAGAACTAAAAACGGCTCTTGGCGTCAGACGTTGAACTTGCGGGTACGCATGAATGACAAGGAATTTAACCAATCGTCGGATGATTTTGTGACAGAAAAGTGTGACAGGGAACACTGTAAGGATCATCTGGATAATTGTAAGGACCGAGGGAGGCATAAGCATGGCTTGTGACGACACAAGAGTGAGTTCGCTTTTGAATCAGTACTGAATAAATGTAGGGGGTGAAAGTGGATTGTGTAAATGCTTCCGGACAGTTTCCAGTAGCCAAAATATTCGACACTAAATCATTTCATCCTTTTTTCTCGACGTTATTGTGTGAAGAATATTAGGAGCAGCTACAGAATCAATGGCGAATCAATAATAGCCACTAAACGGGTACCTAACCCTAATGATCGTAGAGGGTAGATTGATTGTGAAGGGGATCCAAGGACTAAGGATAGAGTTCGGGGTAACCTACGCTAACACCGGCGACATTTGGATGTGTTCAGCACCAATATAATATTACATAATAAACTGCATCCTGTGCATAATGGTAAAAATTGATGAATCGAAAAAATAATATATGTATATTAGTTCCCATTTATCATCATTTTAGCCACTTAAATTACGAAAAATATGAACTAAGAAATATATATGAAAATAAAAGTGCTTTCTTAAACTAGCGCTTGCTATAAAATGCGCCGCCGCAGGCTATATTTAGTATACAAATATTCAAAACTCTCAACATCGCTGGGTGTATTCAATGATATTGTGCATAGAGATGATAGATCACTGGGAGGAGCTTTTGCACACTCAATGACCCCTGACGTCACAGGGCATTGTTTCGCTGGTGTGTCTGGCAACAAAATACTATTAATTACGTCCTAGGGTATTGTCACGTGTTTGAAATGTTTGAGGTACTGTATTCTAAAGGTAGGCTGGCAACCCTGTATTATCACGGTGATGCTATTTGTGGTATGATGCATGTGAAATATGTGCTTTACATCACTTCCTGTTTTTGATTATTCATTCTGCATAAACAACCCGGAGATAGTCCAAACAAATGTATTTCTTTCTGACCAAATTCCAATGGACATGATGGAGGTAGGGGTAATGCCTAAAACTGTCATGAACAAGTTAATATGCATGATATGTTTATTCTTGATAGCCATGACATTCTGCAGGGAGTGAGAGTCCTGTATTTGATCGAGTGATGAAATATCGTGCATAGATTTGCATAAGTAAACAGCCGACAGATTTTGGCTTTAAAGATTTTCTGATACTGTGGTAATATAGAGCCTGCGATAATATAGAGTCAGACTATGCATAAAATCTGTTGAAAATGCTGCCAAAAGCCAAGTTTGGGCTAGCATGGCTAGTGGACTGAATTATTTTTTTGTTCAGATTTCAGTAAACAAGCCGAAATTGCAAACTGATGCAACACTATTGGTAATAAGTGGTCTTATTACTCTAAATATTAGGAGAGTTCCGACAGCCAGGGAGCATACATTGCGGAAAACTGTTACGCTGTAACAGCACAAGTTTTACTGTCAAGAATATTTCATTTTTAACAGAAGAATTTGTCCTGCAAGGTTTTGATAGCATTTAGAACATCGTCCTGACCAGTGTTTTGACCATCAGAGTAACCTAGTTTCATAGTTGTGCCCCTTGTAGTAATTAGGGATATGCTGATTACTGATTACAATTCATCAATGGAACCAGCTGTTTTCGTCCTCTAATTTTAATGACAACACATAGCAAAACCCTAAATAATGGCTAACTTCTACTAGTCATTCTGACACTTTAACTGTTGGGTAGTTTGGCAAGGACTAGTGCCAATTTCTAATGCTGCAGTTATACCCAAATATCTGAGATTCTCACAAAGTATATCATTTTGTATATCTCTTGTCAAAATACTCTCAAAATTTCATATTAAAACAATTAATGTCACAAACCATGTGCAAACTGCAAAATGTATGGTTGTCATTTCATCATCTACAGATCAGGGTAGAAATGGGCACTGGTCCTGTTGTCCTTGCCAAACTGGCCCATAAGGACTATTATAAATTTGCCAGTTTTAAGGGTTTTGCTATATGTTATTATAAGGACTAGTGGACTAAGAATGTTAGGTTCTACTGCGGTAGACCCACCACAAATTGCAACAGAAATGTTTTTAGTTGTTTCATATTTAACAAGCCTTCCTTAACATCATATCAAAAATCTAGAAAAATCTAAATGGGGGAACATTTCCAAATTCAGTCATCTTTACTATAGCAATTACCTAGCATTTTCATAGAAAAAATAAAAATTTCAATTTTTGAAATTTACTCCAAGTTAACTATGTTACATATCAAATGAAAGCTACTAATACAGGCTTCATTATGTTGTACCGTTCCATATTCTGTCTTGTTTTGGCTCAAAGAAATCAGCAAAAATCTATT